TCTGGTGTACAGCTTTATAATGCATCATCTGTGTATTGTATTGTTTATTCACCACCCCAAGTCAAGCTTCCTTCCATCACCATTTACCCCCCACCCCATACCCTTTTACACCTCCCCTCACAAAGTATTGCTTTCCTTAATGCCAATTGCCAGTCTATTGTTGGGCCTTGGTGCAAACAGTTTCCATTATAGACACCCACCAGGTAATCTTAAAACCTGAAAAACGTTTCGAATTGTGTAATTTCAGAGAGACATGTCTGGGCAAATACATGAATGGGTTTAAGTCATCTTGCTATATTTTCTATTAGTTCCATTTGTCATTGTTTCAACATTTTCCTGCTTTTTTAATAGATTAATTTGGTTTTTTTATTATTTTTAGTGGCTGCTTAAAGAGTTTACAATATTCATCTTTATGTTACCATGTATAACTTTAAATGATATGGTATATATAAGCAGTAAGAGATTTCTAACAGTGTAGAGACATTTCTTCCACATCTTTTATTAGATTATTGTCGCCATATATTTCGATTTTATATGTGTTATGAACCCAACATAATATTTAAAATACTTTTGTTTTAAAGAGTTTTTTATCTTGCCCTGGCCGGTGTGGCTCACTTAGTTACAGTGTCATCCTGTAAACCCAAAAGTCGCAGGTCAATTTTAGTCAGAACACATGCCTAGGTTGTGGGTTTGGTCTCAGGTCAGGGTGCCAATGAGGGGGCCCTGGTCTGTAACCAATCCATGTTTCTCTCTCACATTGGTGTTTCTCTCCCTTTCTCTTTTCCTCCCTTCCTCTCTCTTCGAAATGAGCATGTTCTTAGGTGAAAATAAAAAAAGTTATCTATCTTTGGAGATATTTTTAAATGAGAAACAATCTAAAATGACTAAACGATTCTCTTTCTGGATCAGTATGTTCTTTTGTATAGGTCAAAGTTATTTTTTTGTTATTTTTTATTATTTTTCTACTGTTGAAGAAACTTTTTATTATTTTCTGTAGTGCAAGTTTGCTTGAAATAAATTCTCACAGTATTTTCCTGAGTCAAGTTTTATGTTGTCTTCATTTAACAAAGTATTTCACTTTGAACCCTCTTATGGTTTGATTACGTTTATTTCTTCAGCACTTTTAAAGATAATCTGTTGTCTTTGCACACGTTCTCTAATGAGAAGACTGTGGTCATTCTTATCTATGTCCTTCTGTATGTAATGTTTCTTATAGAAACCCACCAGGTAATCTTAAAACCTGAAAAATGTTCAGAAAAATCTCTCTGCTTTGTTTGAAAACTTTCTTTTTATGAGTCTTCTCCATCAATTTGATTATGAAGTGTCTAGCTGTGGTTTATATTTTTATTATTTCTGTGGGGTTTATTGAGCTTCTTGAATCTTTGAGTTTTTTGTTTTCTTCAGATTTGGAAAAATTGTTACCCTTTTAACTCCACATAGTTTATCTGGCCCCTCCCACTCCCATAACTTATCTGCTAACACTTTCTGGAACTCCAATTACACATTAAATTACTTGATATTTTCCTAAACATCACTGAGACTATTTTTTCCTCTCTGAGTGTTTCATTTTGATTACTTTCCCTTTTTTCCTATGTTAAGAATAAAGAATTTTATATTTTACTATTAAATATGATATTATATCTATCTTTTTCATAAATACCCTTGAAGAAGTTGGAGTTCTTTTCTATTGCTTGTTTGATGAGGGAATTATTATTATTATTATATGTTGAATTAATTAAAATGCTTTCTCTACAGCTATTTAAATTATATTTTTCTCCATTAATACAATTTTGAAATGTTAAACCAATATGCAAACTAAAATGAATCCCATTTTTGATACTTAAAAAATAGTTGTGTTCTGTTTGCTAATGCATTTAGAATTAATGTTCACTTTTATGAGAAATTTTCATCTATAACTGTCTTGTCATTTTCCGGTCTTGTCAAATTTTGGGTTCAAATCTGTTGGTATCATAAAATGATTTGTGAAGTGCTCCATCAATATATTTTCCTTCTCTGGAAAGTGTGTATAAAACTGGCATTCTTTTTCATCTTCAATGTTTTGAAGAATTCAACAGTGAACATCTTACCAATGTTTTTTATTGTAGGAAGTTTTTAAAATTGCAGATGAAATCTCTTTAATAGCTATATTAACATCCAGTCTGTTTAATACTTGTTCTTGGATTTATCTATTTCTTCCAAGATTTTAAATTTCCTCACATAATGTTGTTTGTATTTTATTTTTAAAACTGATGTTAGAATCTGTAATGATGTCTATTTGTTATTTCTGTCATTTTTTCTTGTTGAGTCACTTAAGGATTTACCGATTTACTGACTTTTGTAAAGGCGTCAGGGGTTTTTGTTGATCCTCTTTATCCTGTTTATCCTGTTGTATTTTTATTAATTATCTCCTTCTACACACTTTTAAGTTTAATTTACTTTTTGTAACTTCTTGAAATAGATGATTGAATTATTGAATTTCATCTTGAGTAACAGTATTAAGTGCACACTTCAAAAATACGTGTCATATGGAAGGTTGTGAGGACGATCAAGCTACGATATCTGTCACCCCATTTTTCTCCAGGATCAATTTCGCTGGCCTGGCTGGCTAAGCGGGTGTTCCCTTCCTCCGTCACTGATCAGTGTGCGTCCTTCCCAAAGCTGAGCGCTCTCGTCCTTCCCAACTAGAAGAGAGGACCCGTCTTTGGTCAAGGGTATACGAGTAGCTGCACTCGCCTGCTAGAACCTCCAAACAAGCTCTCAAAAATATGTATCATACCTTTAGAGATACAGAAGCAACTGAACGATTTTTCAACATTTTAAAGTTTGCCAGCAATGTAGATTAATGAGGAATGCTTTCATGATATTATATTTATTTCCTTGTCAAGTGGTTTCTAGATCTTATGATGAGTAAATGAGTAATTTAATAACTATAAGAACTTAATGTTGTTACATCTTTCACTTTGTGTACAAAAAAATAATTTAGCACAGTGAAAAGTAGCAATACTACTGACTTTCAGCAGAAAGATAGAGCATTATCAGTTTTGAGTCAAGAACAAACTGCATGATGTACAAATAATGGAAATTGCCTTGACAAAATCTCACACAATAATTCAAATGAGACAGAACAATGGAAATTTTGTGTTTAATCAGCACTTTGACAAAAGATATCCTTGATGTTATATTTTGCAGATAAAAATAGCATACTGTGTTCATACTACCAACCAATAGTTATGTCAAGTCAAAATAACTTGTTTGCTGGAACTTGCTGAAAGGGTAAGAATTCTCATATGTCTTTACTGTTTAAATATGTGTACATAGTATTTACCACAAAAACAGCTTTGTAATTTACTTTGAGGAAGATATTAAACTGATATGAATATAAATCTGGACTGCATTTTGTTTAGATAATTTTTTTCTTAAAAAAGCCAATTAGAGAGACCCAACACTTGGACAAATCTCAAAGAGGTTACGTTTAGTATAATAAACCAGTCTCAAAATGTTATATGCTGTATGATTTCATTTATATTACATGAAAAAAACTATGATGGAGAATAGATGAGTGGTTGCCAGTGTTTAGGGATGGAGAAAAGACGCGACCACATAGGTATAGAAAACAGGAGTTTTGGAGCTAGTGGATGTGTCCTGTATCCTAATTGCTTAGTATAGTTTCAAAAAGTATCCATGTGTTAACATCCATAAAACTATACAACAAAGAGTCAATATCAATGCATGCTAATTTAAAAAATCAAGTTATTTAGTTTTTCTTCTATCATTAATGAGAACAAACTTAACTTTTCCTCAGAGCCAGAGGACCCTAAGTGAAAACTTTGGAAATACGTGATGACATGACCTTGGGAAAAAAGTTAGCTTCTCATAATATTAATTCCTACATTTCACTGTTGATATGAGAACTAAATGACAGAATATACTTAAAGTGATATAAGCATTAAATCATATACTACTTTAAACTTGGCATAATATTTACTTGCTTCTCAAAAAATTCTATGAAGTTTGAGCAACTGAACCCTTGGGTCACTTAATCCAAGCTACATATATTTTGTGATTCCACTATTGCAAAAGATAGTTTCCAGGTCTTGTGGATTTTATCTACTTCTGTCTGGAAATGGCATGTTAACTTCTATCAGGTCTCTTTGGCTAGCAGTAGTCTCATAGCCTTACTTAAGTGCTAGAGGAGGGATCTAAAAATAACAGCGACACATGTATATTCAGTGGACTGTAATGTCTCCAACACAGCTACTTGGTTTGGTATGATGTTCACTAGTTACTGATTCTTAATCTCAATTGCTTATCTGTAATCTGAGACTAAACAAAGAACTGGGACAAATGAAGTTTCTATATGTACTCATGGGGTACTGGCCTCATTCCATACTAATGAATGAGTTTACACAACTTTCTGAACTTTCCTCAGTCTGTTTATTTCTGTCACTTGACAATAATGCTGCTGAGGATTAAATAAGATATAATTGTTTGAGTATACTACCCACAGTACAAAGTGCTCAAAAACTGTTAGCTATCTACATGATTTTTGTATAATTTTAACATAATTAGTATTACTGATAAAATTGTAGCAAGACAACAAAATGTTATAATATAAAAAATGCATGTGAGGATATTCATTTTACTTTGTAAAAGCTCGTAGTGCTTTAAAAGTATTTGTTTTCCTCCTCTCTTGAGAGCTATTATTTGAAGCATGTACAAGGTTTCTTATTTTTCCCTAAGGACTTAATTTCTAAATAAAGTATTCTGCACCTTATAATTACACAATAAACTGATTGCCTAGCAATGTAGTAACAGAGTTGGACATAAGAAAACTTGCCAACATTTAGTGTGGTACGTTCACAGAGATCTTTGTCCTTGTGCTATTTATTTCTAAGCAGCCAATGAAATGTCACCCTGAAAAGTGGAATTTGTGTCAAGGAAATTAGGTAACACTTTATGATAGGGCCAAAAACTGGGTATAAATTTTCGGTCTCTGAATATTTCAGTGTATTTGCTGTGCTGCCAAGCAGACGGAGCAGAAGGAAACGTCATGGGAAGAAAGACTATTTTGCTGCTGATACTGGGCATCCTTGGAGCATATTATGTTTATACTCCTGTCCCAGACAATTTTGAGGAGCCATGGAAACTAATGTGGGTGACCACACAACTTAAAACTGTAGGATATTTGGTAAGTATAGAGTTTTATTGTCTCAATATTTAACAGTCTAAATAGGAGAAAATACCTGTTTTATATTTTTAACAATTTCTACCCTCTTGATAGTTTTGCTTTTTAAGTTTGCTGATTTTAAAGCCTTTTTCATATTTTAATTATTACTTAATGCAGACCACTAACAGAATGAATATGGAAGAAACAGTCAAGTGGTTTTGATTTTATATATTAAAGGACAAAACATGTCAGCTAAGAAAAACAATCCTATTGTATGTTTCATTGTATGAACACTGCCAGAATAAAACATGCTAAAGTCTGAACCCCAGAAACGGTAGCATTGAGCAATACTGTGATTAGTTCTATGCAATAATCTTGTATTCAGGCGTGAAAATGAATTTTTGCTGGCGTATTTGGAAACAGGTCACTGGTAAAGGTCATGGAAACAGGACATGTATGGTGTCCAGTAGATGGAAGAACTGCTCACGTAGCCCTGCGACTGGCCACTTGATGACGATGACTGGCCCACAAAGACCTGTGGCCCTTTTCTAGTGAGGTTAATTACTTAGAAATCAAACCATTCATTATCTTCTTTAACCTCCCCTGTAGCAAATTGCCTGTTGAGGGGGGAGGGGAGGTAATTCAAGGTCAATTAGTCTGAGTAATAAAACACTTAGCTTTTTGCTTCTTCCCTTGCTTTTTTTTTTTTTAAAGGTGTTGTAACGCTCTCTTTTGGCATTTAATGTAGCTCTGAATGAGTGCAATATACAGAGTCCAGCACAAACAACGCCCTTTTTTATTACAAACTCTTTTATTACAAAATCATGAACATATAATTCTGTTAACATAATATTACACTCAAGCACACCATATGACATTTTAGGTAAAATGACCAAATTAAAACTATAAATTATTGTGCCCATATTATTACCCTACCAACCACACTCAAATAGGTGTTATTTCTGCTGGACCCTCTCTGTCTTACATTTGATCATTTTTAGTAACTTCATTAGCAAATATTTTGTTGGATTTGGGTCAATTTTACTGGAATGTAGTTTCAAGTTTTATTTGTTTAAATTGTTCTTGAATTATGTTTAAAATATTAATTTTGGGGTATTTGGATTTCTGTTATTTTGATGTTATGTATATACATATATCTATATACACACATTTATACATACAAAGACATCATTGTGTCATTTTCTCTTGAGTACTTTTAATCTTTCTCCATGTTTTTCTTTCCTTTTGTTAGTTTTTGTCATTTCTATTATATATAATGCTTTGAATTTCTTTTAATTTGGTATTTATTTCTGAAATTATTTTGTTTTTTTTCTTATTTTTTATTAGTTCTACTAACATCAATTTTTAATTCTCTCATCTTTTTGACTAGCAATCACCTCCAATTATCTTCCTTGAATACATGGATTTTTGCTTTGTGATATTTCTCCTTAAAAATTTATCTTACAATATTGTGTAATATATTTTGTTCACTTTGCAGTGATTTTTTTTCTAGTTTGTTTTCTTCATGTGTTGGAGACTTACTATTTTTCTTATAGTACACAGTACCTTGTATGAGTGTTATAAATACAACTATCACAGTATTTCTATTTGAATGAGATGAATTTTCTTTAACAAACTATTGTAAGAATGTCCTGGGCAACAGAGGTAGGGTCAAGACTTTTTTTGTCATTCAGTTCTTATGCTTAAGGACTCTTATTGCTAATACACACACAGACATATATCTTTGTAAATGCTCACCGATTAAATTCTCTCCAGCGCTCCTGAACCCTGAATCCCCTGGTTCATCACTGATGGTTGTTAACAAAGTATACAGCCGTGTTTTGCCAGTGCTATCTATATGATACTTCAAAGTTCTGAAATCAGGAGTTACCTCTGGACCTTCTTGGGTGATTTATAATTTCTTTATCTACTTCTCTCAGTAATCAGGACTTTTTGTGTTTTCTGCTCCCGGAACTTTTGAACATGGCAAGGCCCTTTCATTGTTGGAATAAATGTTTGTTATCGTTTCCTTTCTTGCCTTTCCTCTTTCCCTAGCACCATGGTTTTCTGTGCAATTCTGCTGGTTTCATCTGCCTTAATCTAATACTGCACATAACTTATAGTTCATGGGTTTCCTGTGACTATTTGTTCTCAGAAGAAACAACTTATCTGTTTGATTATTGATTTCTTTTTTTTCTTTCTTGCTCTGTGTGCTCTCTTCATTCCCAGTTTTAAAGGAAAAAAAATAATTTATTTGCTTAGTACATCAGGTTACCATATACTACCTTTTCAAAACCTTTATAAAATCTATTACCTATTAAGAAGCTTATTTTTTTCTAATTCTTCTCCCCTGATAAAGGGGGGAAAAAAAACCCTTAACATGTTTTTTCTTGAATGTAATGCTATCTGGTACCACTTTGTGTTTTATCAATGAATTTGAACATAAAAATAAGGAATGATAATTCAAACGTTTAATAAGTCAGTGATGAAGATAAATGGAAGGCATTGAATGGAATTGTCAACTAGTCTGCAATGCAGACTAGCTCTGAAAACAGATATATCAAATGCAAGTACCTATAATGCTAACTCTGGTAGAGAGATTGCTCAGCAGCATCCTCAAAGGACGCTGCAGTTGCATATAGGCTTGGGAAAAAATAACATTGGAGTCAAATAACACTGTCAGACTTATCCCATGTTTGAGATTAAATGCATTTGTGGAAAGTGTTTTCTACCTTTAAACCACATTGTAAGGTTTTCCTTAGTTGCATTAGGACAGTTTGAAGCTTCTAAGTTTGAGACTATTTCTTTAAATATTACTTTTAGCATCTTCTCTTCTCCTTTGTCTACATTTTTGCCATTGATTCCCCCAGCTCTGCTTAGTTCCTTTTGCTGCTATAGCTTTCTCGGTGGTACACTGGTGGGTCTCCAAAGGATGAACAAACACTTTGAAGTTCAATGATCATTTGAGGCTCTGAATTGCCAAATAACCACACTTTATATGCAAAACTCTAACTTGGATGCAGTCAATGGCATTGTTTCTCACCTTTGAATTATCAGAAATTCAATTATGTTTTCCTTAGTCGATAGATCCTTGTATGGCTAAGTTATAAGAAACAATTTTATTAATACACTGAAGGATATAAATTCCAGGGTTGGTCAAAATTTTCCTTCTTTATCATTTGATCACTCAAATTTATGTCAAAAAATTGCATTTAGGCTTTAAAATCAATGGGAAGAGAGTAAGCTGATCTGAGCTGACAAGTCCATTAAGCTACTGCTCTAATCCATCATAATTTACTAAAGGGAAGATAGTCAAAAAACTTTAAAACCCTGATTATTCAATTCAGACTGTAGGGAGAGTAGGCAATAGTTTTAGCACACTGGTGACTTTTTAGTCTTTTGTTTTGTTTATTACACTTCCTCATAGGATTTAAAAACTTGTGAAATTATAAACTCATGTTAAAAATTTCATACTTAGTAGTTTCTTACATATTACTATTTCTATTTTAATACCTAAATTACTGTCTTTAATTTTTATAACATGGTACTATTCTCTATCATTTAAAAAATATTTGAAACTAAACAGTTTCATTCTTTGAAGATAAAATACTTGAGTCCAGTGATTTATATTTTGAAAGAAAGCCTTGTACTTGTTCTTAACATTAATTTAAAGCCAGAAAGTCAACTAAATTGCCATAAATTACTTTTTTGGGAAAAATTTTGATACCTACTCTATGTCATAGGTTGTATGAATTTTAAATTTGTTTGTTAAAATTAAGTACCTAAATGTTCTGACCTGAATACCACTTTTCTATGTTAACATTTAAAATCAGCAGGCCTGATATTTATGTGATTTCTTCAAAACGAGACTGTTCATTGGTGGGAGGGCTTGTGCAAAAATCACATCAGCAGAACCACGGGGAAACATAATTTGACACCTTAGAAATAAAGAGGACAGAAGACGGTCCACTGGGAGTAAGAGTCTCCACTCTTTTGTGATTGCAGAGGAGCAGGTAGGGGACACCCACCATGCTGAGGCATGGCCAGCATGTGAAGTTGACCTTGAACATCCTTATGGCTGGAACAGCCAGTTTCCCAAAGTCTGTCAGGTAAACTAAACATTGGCATTTCACTCTCATCTGCATGAGTTCTACATTTCCAGTGGCAATTGTGACGTGAGGACAGTCGCTTCTTGAAGGTGCATGCTTTTTATAAATCTAACCTCTGAAGTCCCTTTGGGACAGCTGTTGGGCAACAGGAAGGAGAGGTATTTGCTACTTGAACACCTGTCCAGGGGTAGCATGAGTGGGTTGGGGAGTGCAGCTGGCCCGGAGAAACAATACCGTGCCACTGGGCCTTGGGTTATAGTCAACATGTTTTGAAATTGAGGATGGAACTATGTCTTTTTAAGTTTTGGAATCCCAACATTATGAATCCCAGCATCATGAAGGTCCTTCATGATTGCCTCACACTCCCTTTGGGGTTCCTTTTATTTCATGCATCCCTCTGTAGACCTGACTATGGCTTTACTAAACTACCTGCATTTCTCTGAGAACTTCCCTTTCTGTATTCATAACAAAGTTCGCCTACTTGAAACCTCTTCTTACAGGTGTTACATCCAGAAAAATAGTTTACCTCCCTAGTGACCTTTGAGAAAGTTCTTTGCACATGTTTATGAAACAGGTAGTGATTATGTTGTTTTATAATTGCTTATATATTCATTTCTCCCACTGACTCTGAGCTTATGTAGAGAATAAGGCATACATTGTTTATGTACTCAAAGCAGGAGGCATAGTTTCTGGCAAGTTATAATACCTCAAGGATTCTTTTTTTTATTGTTGCTCAATAACAGTTGTCCCAGTTTTCTCCCTGACTCTCCCCCTCCCCCCCCCTACACCCAATACCCCCCAACCATTGTCCCTGTCATGGGTCCTTCACACATGTTCCTTGATGACCCTTCCCCTTCGTTCCCCTTTATCCCCCTCCTCCTCTCCCCTCAGGTTACTGTCAATTTGTTCTTTATTTCCATGTCTCTGTTTATATTTTGCTCTTTCGTTGTTTTGTTGATTAGGTTTCACTTATCAACAAAACAGGTGAGATCAGATGGTATTTGTCTTTCACCACCTGGCTTATTTCACTTAGCATAATGCTCTTTTATTTTTTAGCCTGAGACAACCGTTACAGTAAAGATCCTAAATCTGTGATATTTGTGTCATTCAGATTTACCTGTGATGAATGACATATATGTGTACTTCTATGCTTATAAACAACATTGGCATTTGCTGTTTTTAACCTGATTTTTTTTCCCTTTCTCTACTTTTAGGCTCTGTTTGCTGAACTATTGGGAATCAACCATTTCATGAGCACTTACAGGTTCTTTGCTAGTTTACAAGACGTCCCACCCACATCTGACAAAAATGTCACTGTGATGGAGACAACTTTCGACAACGTTCCTGTCCGTGTATATATTCCAAATCAAAAGTCAGAGGCACTAAGAAGGGGCCTATTTTATATTCATGGTGGCGGCTGGGCTTTGGGGAGTGCTGGTATGTGGCCCTTATTACAAATTTTTGCTTATCATAAAGCATATGATTTATTAAAATGTTTACTTTGACATATCTGGTAAACATCACAGATAATGGAATACTTCAGCTGCCTGAAATTTATTTCTTTGGAACTATGTTAGTTTAAAAAATTATTTTAAATTTCTTTCTGAGAAGAAATAACACTGAAAGCTGTAGCAAATCTCAGATAAGAAGAAAAATTGTTTCATAAACATAGAAATTTATTACTAAACTTGTGAATTGCAAAAGTGATGGAATGTTGCAGTGAAAACCAAAATGAAGTGGGTTGAATAATGGATGAGAAATGAGGTAATGGAGATGGTGACTCGAGTCTTTCAATCAATTTAGATCTAAAGGAAAGAAAATGTGTGAGTTAGAAAAAGAAACACAGAGTTCATTAAGGATACTTTATTTTTATTTTGAGTAAATTATATGTACATTTCAATTTATTTTATGTATTTCTATATTTCTATAAATATATCTAAAATATATCACTTTATTACATATAATATAAAATGTATATTTTATTTATGTATAGCTACTTATTTTATATTCATATATGGAAGGTCTATGAACATGTTTATAAGCTGAAGGGAAGGCAGTAAATAGAAGTGTGTTGAAGAAATTTCAGGAGGAGGAGCTGGAGGATGGGAAGAAGTTTGCCTGACCTACAGGATGTGGGAGGAAATTAAACTTCATATAATGGGAAAATATTAACAGCACCCACAAAGAGGGACAAAATTTCCTATGTTACGTTTTCTTTCCATATTTTCCGGAGAAAAGGGTATTGATGAGTATTGATGTAAATTGGAATAGTAAAGGGTATGATCCAAATATTTTCTGTAAACTCAGACAGTAAAGTCATCAACTGGCAATGAAGTGATAGTTTAAAGACAAAATCTGACTATGCCATGTCTCAGTTATTTTTCAGGCATTCCTACTTCCCAAAGCAGTTCACTTAAAATCTTTCCATCAAGGTATACCTGAAGAGAGGGAATGATTTTAAGGAACTAAATAAGAATAAACTCGGAAACAAAATAGCATTTAGCTGATTTTTTTCTTTCAACATTAAATAAAAATGTGTGTTTTAATCCCAAATATAAGCATAATTTTTTATAGTAAATGTTATATAAACGTTTAAAACTTAGTGATTATTTTACATTTTAAGAATATTCAGCACCCAACTTTGGAAACATCACAATATAATATCGCATCTTCTTTTTATGGCCCACATGATGTACCCTTTGTGACAACTTCTTATCCTGATAGCCCATTCTTAGTACTTTATGATCTCTCCCTCCTCTTGTTATTGGAAAATTCTATTTTATTTTCTTAAAATGTAATCTTATGTGCAAAAAGGAGCACTTTTTCTAGCACAATAGCAAATACATGTGACCTATCCCCACCTCATATACATAGCCAAAAACACCCTGAAAATACGTCCTCCTTGTCTGCCTAAGAAATATGAATATGTAAATCAGGTCTCAGCTCTCCCTATTTCCATTTTACTCTTCCTTAACTTCCTCTGGCAGATTTTGTGAAGTCTAATGCTACTTCATAGAGTACTTTTTTTACCCCTCCATTAAAGCAACTACTATTTAGAATTATTGCTTTTTATTTACATGCCTGCCCTTCCCTGCTCCTATCTTCAGTAGACTGTGACTTCCTGAAAGTCATGGAGGTACAGTTATGTTTATTCCTTCAACACCTAACATCTGCTGATTAAAGGGAGCACAGACTAATCTTGAAGAGAATGAGATTGGCTTAAAGTATACAGTGTGAAATGTGCGAAAGGACAAGAGAGCTGACAATACACATGTAAAAGGACTGCTGAGCAAAAGAATTCATGTTCTACAGCTATGATGAAATATTAAAAATATTTTCCCAGAACATTTTAATCATGAAAAAAGATGCAGTAGTAGGCCTTTTGTGGGAAGAAATATCCATCAATTTACTTGTCAGTCTCTGATTTTATTTTCATTTCAGCTTTCTATACTTATGACTTGCTCTCAAGACGAACAGCTAATAGACTTGATGCTGTTGTCATTTCAACCAAGTAAGTACACTGTTGGTTGTTTCGGTTTGGGCCGGGATGCTTATACAGTGAGATGTTTTCGGCTGTCCTGGTCATTTTTTGGTTATGCCAGGGTGTGTTTCAAATCAAAGTGATGTGGTGTGAACTGAGAAAGTGAGCTTGAGCATGACCAGAAACGAGACGGAGAGAAAAGAGTTGCATAATTCAGTCAAGTGAGGATCAAAAACAGAACGTCAAGAAATTGTTAGAATAAAATTAAACTATTTAATTTTATGGATGATTGACCTTTGCTGGATTTCTAGCCTACTATTAATTAACAGAGTGAATAGGGAAGGTTTCAGAGTCAGAGAATCAGGTTCAAAGTTTGGCTTTAGAAATAACTCAGTGACTAAGTGCCACTTAAATCTCATTTTAGCTCCATTTTCTTATATATAAACTGTGAGTCATATATTTTCTATATCATAGAGTTGTTTTGAGAATCAGATGTTAAAATATATTTAAAGCAATTAGTATAGCATATTTCATGGTAAAATCCTTCATTAAAAGCAATTAGTCACTAAATAACATGGGAGAACAGGCAAAATGTGTTCTAAAAAGCACTCTAGATCAGTAAGCAATAACAGAAAATGAAAAAACGTAGGAGTGACTGCTTGCCAACTTGATCATTAAATTAAGTTGTAATACAATAATTCTTAAGATTTGCTTGATATTAATTGGTCATACATAAATAAAAATAAACATAATTAAAGAGAAATGATTACAAAGAAAATAACATTCTGGGAGAACTTTACTTAATTATCACCTGGGATTTTTTTTTTCTTAAGCCTAATCCAAGTTTTGCATTCAAGCCTTTACTAGTATAAAAGTAATATTTGTGAAAGTTTTATATCAAGCATTATCTTTAAAAATAAGTCTGTCTTTGGATTTATTAGGATTCAAACATGTTTGTTAAAGAAGAAATTTACTTTTGATTTTAGGGTTACAGCATGCACACACATTTTCATTAAAAATACTGACTTAAAGAACATTGTTTTTCTGCCCACAGTTATAGACTAGCACCTAAATATCATTTTCCCAATCAATTTGAAGATGTATATAATTCATTAAAGTGGTTCTTACGCCAAGATGTTCTTAAAAAATATGGTGTAGATCCCAAAAGAATTGGTATTTCTGGAGACAGTGCTGGAGGGAATTTAGCTGCAGCAGTATCTCAACAGGTATGTTGCTCAAATTTGTCTTATTTTTAAAAATATCCTACACTTAAATTACTTACTTCAAATATTAAAGTATCAGTGCAAATATGTTATATTAATACATTAGAGTTCCATGGAGGTCATATCAGAGAGAATTGATATAACTAGTGTTTCTATTTCTAGCTCCTACCAGATTTTTTAAAAATAAAATAATTAAATCTTCTTTCTAGATTGTTGGTTTAAACATAATGGATATGGTCAGGTAAGTAACATGGTGTTTTGTTATACTAGGGAGTGTATTTGTATAATCAATCAACAGCACCAACCTCCATAACTAAAGAATCAGGTGATTTCAGTATTCTTCAGTGGCGTATGATAAAACTTGCATGGAATCTTATCAAAATTTAAAAATTGCCTACTGACAAAAAATGATAGCAGGTTTATAAATATTATTTACTTAAAGAAGAAACTATTATTTTCAGATATCAAATTTTATACTATTTCTATGACATTTAGCTAAAACTGGACACCTATTCACTACTGATTGATTTACAATGGTTTATAATTAGTCTACAGATTATGAGTAAAATTATTTTTCATACTGGTTTATCTAACCTAAGAAATAAACTTGGTGCTGATGGCTTAGAAGCAATATTCCTATAAGAAAAAATTTCTAATATATTTTCAAATAAATGATCATAATTTAATAACTAATTATAATAATAAATATTCCACATAAATTTGTGCAATATTTATTGTCATACACATTTTAAAATATTTAAAGTTTGGCTATTAGTATTTTTTAGAATAATCTTCTCATTATTTCCAGCCAAAGGAAAGATTAAAATTCTGTGATTTGTTTTAGTATACTTCAGAACAAATATTTGTTACTTCCCAGAAGTTGAGTTCTATATTGCTACTCATTGTCTCTCTGAGAGGCATCTCGAGGAGCAAAGAATATGTTCCTGGGGGTTGAAAAGAGTACATCAGGAGACATGGATATCTGAAGCTAAAGTAAGGTTCAGCTGTGACCTTGGTCAAGCCATCTGCCCTCTTCAAGCACTAATTTCCTTTGACTGCATTGCACAATTAGTCTTTCCTTGTATGCAGTTCAGGTTTCTATCACAGTACACAAATTAATTCTGACCCATGATTATTAAAAATTGGGATTAAATATAATAATCTGAAATGTATCAAAAAATTTCATAAGATAAGAAAAATTTCTAGGCCACAAGTTTTTTAAAAGATAAAGAAAAAACCCACAAAATAACCCCAGCACTCAATGCCCCCTCTACCATAAAAGCTTAAGACACTCAAAAAAACCCAAAAAGTTCTCAACCAAGATGAGCTTTGGAAGTCTTTCAGGGCTAGAGTGAGAGTCAAATATGGGGCCACTCTTCAAAAACTCTTCACTCTAAGGCCCGTAAGAGAGCTGCCCTCCGGGTCAGGGGAAACCTGATATAATACAAACCTCATGTGCATTTTTTAATAGGAAAGTAATGCACATACAGTTCTATTGTGGCTCTTAATTTACTTCTAAAAATTTATGCTAAGATACACATAACATAAAATTTACTCTCATAATCATTCTAAGTGTGTAATGTAGTGATATAAAATAACTTCCCATTGTTATACAGCCATGCGCCTTCAGAGTCTTGCTTCACATCATCTGGTGGTGGGGGAAAAGCTCAGATCTTCATTTTAAATTAGAATAGTGTGAGTGGTTGATATTCGACTGTGCTTGACAGAGATGTATAAAAAGCCTCCCTGGAGAAATAGAGTATCATCATAGACTTTAAATTATTCCTGGAAATATTTTTGAAATTCAGTATCCAGCACAGAATAAAACATATCCAGGTAAACAAGTAAGCAAAAAGTAATGAAGGAGAGCAAGCAGAATCAAGAGACAATAGAAAGCCAGCTGGCGATATTCAGATACTGCAGTTATCAGCCACCAAATATTAAATAACTACCCTACTTTCTTCAATCATTTCACAACTGAGATTGCAAATTTCAGCAGGAAAGTTTTGAAAAAAACATATTCTAAAACTCAAAAATAAAATTATCAAAATCAAAACCTTTATGAATTACTTAACTGATTTTTACACAGCTGAAGATAATTTATAAACTGAAAAATGAGTCATATCAACTCAGATATGACTATTCAAAATGAAGTACAGGAAGCCAAAAAGTTAGAAAATACAAAAGAGAAGAAATACAGCAGATATAGTCTGAAAATCCAATGGAATTCTTATTGTCATACAAGAAGTATAGGCAAGAAAATGCGGTAAAAGAATATTTTAAAATACAATAGTAGAGCATTTTGTAAAACTGACTGCAGATAAAAGAAACTACTTGAACTCTAAGAATCATTTTTGAAAAGCTTAAAACTAAATCAATAACTAGAGAAAAATGAACACATAGACACAAGGAAAAGTGTAGAAGCCAGCAAAACAAAATAAAACAAAAAGTAACAGAAAAAATCTTAAAACAGAGGAGAAAAGTAACTTCACAGAAATACAAGCCATAGGGCAACTTAGTTCTCAATAGCAAAAATGTTAAGTGTGAAGTCGTGGAATGATACCAAAAAAGTGCAACACAAAATGACTGTTACCTAATTCTGTGCCCCACAAAATTTTTACTTAAGAATAAAGGAGAAATAGAGACATATTCAGTTAAAACTAAGATAACTTGCTATTAATGGAACACATTAAGGATCTTTAAGTAAAGTGTTTTAGATGCAATGAAAATACAGATAAAAGTTTAAGTTTCAGGAAGAAGCAAATAACAAGAATGTGGTAAGATGTGGGTAAGTCTTAATAAACTTGAATAGTTTAAAATAATGAAATATATAGAATTAAAATATTAGAAAAACAAACTAAGTTAAGGAGAGAGGTGAGGATAAATTTCAAATCTTATCAGGCCTTTTTTTTCATATAAGGAGAAATAAAGATGTAGAATTATGTTTCAATAAATTCACTAGTCTTTGAGAAGCTAAGAATACACATTTTATGGCGATCATTTAAAGAATAAAAACAAGACTATAACAGAAACTACTAAAGGAAAAAATAGAATAACTGAAAGTTCAACCAGTCTGAAAGAAGGCAAAAATAGAGACGAAAATAAAAGAAAGATGCACAAAATAAGGTGGTAGATCACCAGTTATCTTAGTAAGTAGAGTAAATTGGGGGTCTAAATGATCTCACTGTAGGACCAAGAATGTCAGATTAAAAAAATAATAAAAAGCAGATTATTTGAAAGTAATACATGGACAATATATACCCTATAATAGCATCCAAAACAAATGATACATAAAGAAGATCGCATCATCACACACAAAAAAAAGATTTGAATGACTAAGAAAATACAAAGTTAAATCTGTATAGATTTAATTACATGGTGCTAATACTTGAAGAAAATATTAACAGCTCTACAGGAGAAAACACAAGTTTATGACCACATCAAGAGATTTAAGAATACTTCTGTTAGTAATTAAGAGAACAAGTAGGCAAAAGTAATAAGTAGATAGAAGATGGGAATAACAATCAATAAATTTCACTCAGTGGAAATAACAAATATACATAATCATTTTTAATAATTAACCAAATACTGGGCCACAAATTTAGAATTTAAATTGTACTATTCTTGGAATCTTACTAAATGCAATAATGTGGGAAATCAATAAGAAAAAGACAAGTAGCATATTTTTCTTTGTTTGGAAATTGTGAAAAATATACTAAGGACCTATCTGTCACTGTTTAAAAAGAATGTATATCTTTTATATGTTCTCTACATTTAAAAGAAATTGCATTTTCTCCAAATCACATATGAGAAAAGAAGAAAGACTAAAATAAGCATCTGACTCAAGATAAAAAAAAATAGAGGGAAGATAATAATGACAAGAACAGAAATTTTGATATTCAAAACAAGCTTAGAGTACATATGAACAAAAACAAAAAATTAATTCTTTTAAAAGACTAATAAAATTTTAATTCTCTGAAAAGGCGAAAGAGAAAAAAACAAAAGTTAGCTACAAATGTCAGGATTGAGAGAGGGACAATTCTGCAGACGCTTTGACATTAAAAAAAATTAGCCTGTGATGAATTATGAATGCACATTGTAATTCTTGAAAGCAATATTTTGAACAACTTTGAAATTAAAACATTTAATAACATTTTGACTTAATAAACAAATCACCATAAAAATGTAGCTTGCAAAGCAGATGCACAAGAAATGAAAATCTGTCATTTTATAACCACAAAAAAATTAAATTAATAATAAAAATAGTTCCAGTAAGAAACTTCACTGACAATTTGCATCAAACATTTAAGAAGAAATAAATCCACAAAACATACTGGAGAATAGGGAAAAAATGTATACACTCCAGTTTTTTTCAGAGAAGCATGATCTTTATGACCAATCAAGGATCAGTTTCGGGAAGGAAGACAATGGGCCAATCACACTCAGAAAACCAAGGATTGATTTCGTGAATAAAATATTAGAAAAAATATATATTTTATATATATACATTGATCAAGTTGCTTATCATGCTAGGAAAAGTATATTTTCTTTAAACATAAGTGAATTGCACATTACTAGATTATAGAAGTAAAACCATAGATGCAGAAAAATCATTTACTAAAAGTCACAGTGACAGTAATTGGTTAACTAGAATAGATAGAACTTACTTAACCAAATAAATTACATGGGTTAAGTATGTGTAAAAGGAGTATAATTTAAAGAAATAAATTCACACAGTAGTGAATTCCATAATGAAGAATAGTGCTTATGAGAAAGCAAAAATGCTGTGCGATGAATTGAGGGTATATAAAGATTCTGAGGGTATATAAATATGATTCTTAAACATATTTATTATATTTTATATTGTAAGGTTATATACTTGATTTAATGTGTTTTATACTTAACTATAAAATATAGTTTTAAAAAAATATTTGCAAGATTTCTGGTCAAGATGTCAGAATACGTAAATACAGTACCCCTCTTCCACCCCAACCACTTTAAAATTACAGCTAAACTGCAGAAGAATGATTACTGAGAACCACCTGAAGTCTGGCTGAACAGACATCCTGTAACTCAAAATATAAAGAAGAAGACACATCAAGACTGGTAGAAGTCTTGCATCAGAAATGCAAAAGGGGCTTGTCCTAAAACAACATATGATCGAAAAGCAGCAGGAATATCTCGGCTGCTGAGGTGCCCCATGAGAGAAATGAAGGGCCCCAATGCCACACCAGGTCCTCCTGCCCAGGGTTCCAGTGTCTGAAAGGGAATTCCACATAACTGGGCTATAAAAATCAGCGGGGACTATGGCTGAGGAGATTGTGGCTGAGTGAGACGGAGGGCTCCTGGAGACCCATGGCCTTCCTCTTAAGAGGCCCAGAAATGGACTTAAATGTACTGAAGGACTCATTCACTCTGAGCTTCAGTTCTGGGGCAGCAGCTAGAAAAGTGGCAGGAACATGCAGCAAGGAACTAAGTTGTCTGGCTTCAAGGTAGGAGCGCCAGGGGCAGCTTTCTTCCAGGCAGAAACACTGGAAGAAGCCAGGGTACCTTTACTAAGGCTTCTGTCACCCAGCCCCAGGCACAGGCAGACACCAGCTCTGTCAGCCCGGTTAACACTGCTCATTGCTCCCTGGTGACTCCTTGAGACCCTGCTTCACTCAACTTTTGAGTCCAACCAAGACATTTCCGGTGGCTTGCCCATAGAAAATGGGCTTTGTTGGCTCATGCTGCAGACTTTCAAAAATCTTTTAAAGGTTCACAAACCCCAAATAATTGGTGTATGTCATCACCATGCCTTATAACTCTTACTAAGTGGCCCCAAGCCCAGCACTAGTGGCATCTAGCCTCTAAGCCTCGCATAAGCAGTAACCATCTTCAAATCACTTTGTAGCTCATACCTGCTGGTCCTGGGCAGGCCAGGCAGTGGCCGACCTTGGCCTACATTAGAGCCTATCCTGAGAGGCCCCAGAATCAACACAGCAGGTGGCCACCTTCATACCGCACCACACACCATTGAATCACCTTCACAAATGACACACTAAAGGGCAGACTCTGCAGACACCACAGCTGCTAAATGAATTCTGCTCCATCGGGTCAACCCTTGCACAATAAATAGCTCCTCTGCTGTAGTCATCGGTAGTCCTCATAGGGCATCAGCCTAAGTGTCAATCCTTGCCAATAATGTGCCAGCATCAAGCAACACTTAACTACAAACACAACCACACAAGGACACACAGGGAGCACCTAGTTCAAGAGAAAAGCACACTTAGGAGAAAAGTAAATGAAATAAGAACTATAAAAAACATATAAGAAACATAAAAATGGATATAGAAAACATAAAAAAGAACCAGTCAGAAATGAATAATACAGTAACTGAAATGAAGACTACATTACATGCAATCAACACAGAATTAGATGAAGCAAAGGGTCAAATCAGTGATTTGGAAGACAAGGTTGTGGAAAACACCCAATTAGAACAGCAATCAATCCATCTATTAATCAATAAGAATAGCTTAATAGACCTCAGGGACGATACCACATATATCAACATTGAAAACCTATTTGAAGAAATAATGACAGAAACGTTCCTTAACTTGGTGAAGCAAATAGACAAGTCCAGGAAGTGCAAAGACCCAAATAAGAATAACCCAAAAGGTCCACACCAAGACATATCATAATTAAAATGGAAAAGATTAAGAACAAAAAGAAAACCTTAAAAACAGCAAGAAAAAATCAGTTACCTACAAAGGAGTGCTAATGAGACAGTCAGCTGATTTCTCAACAGAAACTTTGCAGGCCAGAAGGGGCTGGCACAAAACACTCAAAGTGATGAAAAGCAAGGACTGACAATGATTACCCAGCAAGGCTGTCTTTTAGAATCAAAAGACAGATAAAGAGCTTCTCAGATAAGAAGAAGATGATTAAGTTCATTACCACCAAGCCAGTATAACAAGAAATGTTAAAGCGACTTTTTTTAAAAGAAGGAGAAGAAATATGAATACTAAAAGGGCAATCACTACGTAGCTATTAATAATTACTTTAATGTAAATGGATTAAATACTCTAATCGAAATATATAGGATGGCAGAATGGATAAGAAAAAAAGACACATACGTATGCTGCCACAAAATACCCACTTCAAATTGGAAGACACACAAAGCCTGAAAGTAAAAGGATGGAAAAAAGATATTTCATGCAAATGGCAACAACAACAAAACGCTTGGGTTGAGCATACTTATGTCAGACAAAATTGTTTAAAACAAAGGCTAACAAAGAATAAAGAAGGACCTAGAAATTCCACTACTGGGTATTTATATGAAGAAAAGCAAAAACACTAATTCAGAAAGACATGTGCATTTCTATGTTTGTTGCAGCATTGTTTACAATGGCCAAGATATGCAAACAACCTAAGTGTCCATCAACAGATAAAGAATAAAAAGGATGTGGTACATATATACAATGGAATATTACTCAGCCATATGAAAGAATAAAATCTTATCCTAAGTGAATGCGTCAGACTATGATTTCATTTCATTTATGTCAATTACAAATGTCACATGATTTCATTTATGTGTGGAATCCCAAAAAAACAAATTCAGATAGAACATTTTGATGATTTCCAAATGGGAGGTGGCTTGGAAAATGAATGAAAAAGTGTAAGGGATTAAGATGTGCAAATTGCCCCTAATACAAACAGTCATGGGGACATAAGGTAGAGCATAGGGAATATGAGTCAATAATATTGTAATAACGATGTATAGTGTCAGATGGGTACTAGACTTATTAAACTGATTACTTCATAAGTTATACAAGTGTCTAATCACTATGCCATACACCAAAAACTAATATAATATTGTATGTCAATTATAATTGAAAAATAATTGTTATTTAAAAAGTAAAAATAAGCAATATTGCAACCATTCTCAATTATGGCTCTTTCTTACTGGAACACTCTCTCTTCCAAGACCTTCTGCCAAGTTAGCTCCTACTTGGACATCACTTGAGCTTCATCACCTTCCCTGGAAAATATATATGTGTAAGATGTGCCAGTAGCATACTGAATAAATCCCTACCTGATAGTTTGTCTCACTAATTGGAATTATTGCTTAACTTTGTTTCCACTTGGCTATAGGTTCCTTATGTGCACACAATGACATCTGTTCATCAATATGTCTTTAGGATTAAGAATTATGTGTTTAATAAATATTAAGTTAATGAATAAAAAATCAACAGGTTCAAATAGTTTAGCTACCTATAAGGTTGAATTTATTGGATAAATATAAAATTTTTTTGTATTTTTTCTTAACTCAATCCAAAATAAGCCAAGTTAACTACCTGTTTAATTATTGCCAGACCTCTACTAATGTAAGTAGCAATCATCATACTAGATATTGAGCTAAAAAGAGTGTGGTATTCTTAACTGAGACAAAACACTGAACTAATTATTTAATTTCAGAAAATATTTTATTTTATGAACCAGCTCTAATTATTGACTGTGCTATAAATGCAATAAAATAAACACTGCTGTCATTTGTTTTTGTTGGGGGGGGATGTAAAATGTCATATTTATGCCAAAGGAAAAATACCAGAGTGCTCTGCTTTCTTCAACTGTATATAAAGTTTTGAGACGTGGAGTTCACATCTGAATGTTCAATGTAGTTATTATATTTTAACAAGCATCAGCTTATGTATAGTTTTAATAATTATTGCTTATGACCTATACCAGTGGATCTCAAATTTTTGCATGCATAAGAATCACCTGAAAGACTTGTTAAAACAAAAATTGCTGGTTTCTCTTCTCTGGTTTCAATGAGTCTGGGCTGGGGACTAACAATTTGCATTTCTAACAGATGCAGTTTCTATTCTCTCAGAGATTATCTTTTGAGAAGCTAATCCAAGAGATACAATGGGCTATTCTAATTTGCAGGACCAAGTAAATATATATAAAAACATTGGCTAAACTATAATGCTCAATATTACTGGCCTCCAAATATTTTCAGTCATCTACCCTATGAATGGGAGATTAATGCAATTCCAATATATGGACATTAATTTATAAATTAAAATTTAATGCACTAGTATAATTTGAATATTTAAAACATATAAATATTAAAATAAGTTAGATTTTTGCCAATGTTTTATCTGTTTAGTGTCAGAGCCAAATTAGAATTCCTAGTTATGTGACATTTCCCTTAAATGTTGATGCCTGTTGATATAATAATATATGTGTATAAATTATTTACTTAAAAAATCAGTTTGCTAAGATTGCCATTTTGGGCTGTAACAACAGATATTTTGCTTTTTAATCACATGGTCTTTTTCCATAACCATGAGCATAGTAGTGTTAATCATTTTGTTTACATTTATAGTGTTTCAGTGTAGACACTGAGTCTTATATATAATAATATTGAAAACTGGAACTTTCTTTTAGGTATATTTGCCTGTTTTGAAATTTTGAATTTATCTCATATCAACCTCATAAATGAAAGTATATATTATTAATAAAAATTATTGTTTCAACAACTTACTTTAAATCATTTCTCAGCTCATCGATGACCCAGATGTAAAGATCAAACTCAAGACCCAGTCTTTGATTTATCCTGCCCTTCAGACTCTTGATATGGATTTACCATCATATCGGGATAACGCACTCTTTCAGATTCTGCCCAAATCACTCATGGTCAGGTTTTGGAGTGAATACTTTACCACGGACAGATCACTTGAGAAAGCAATGCTCTCCAATCAACATGTACCAGTGGAATCAAGCCATCTCTTCAAATTTGTTAATTGGAGTTCTTTGCTCCCAGAGATATTTAAGAAAGGGCACTTTTATAGGAGCCCAACTCATGGTACTTCTGAGCTGTTTAAAAAGTACCCAGGGTTTCTAGATGTGAGGGCAGCCCCTTTGTTGGCCGAGGACAACAAGTTACATAGTTTACCTGTAACCTATGTCATGACCTGTGAATATGATGTCTTAAGAGATGACGGAATCATGTTTGTCACCCGACTTCGGAAGGCTGGAGTTAGGGTGACCCATTGCCACTTTGAGAATGGGTTCCATGGAGCAATGTCCATTCCTGAACTCAAAATTGGATCTGAAATAGAAAATCAGTATCTGAGTTGGCTAAATGAAAATCTATAGTAAAAATATAGGTTCATAAAACTACATAAGCCTCAAAATAGAAACAAGTTAGTGAGAATCAAACAGTATTGTTTAAATTGATTGATGTTTAATCATCTGCTAACTTTCTAAGGTCCTCAGAACCATCACGTTTTTTTTTTCTTTTTTTAACTCAGTGGTTCTTCTCTACTCCTTATTCTGTGTTGTTTATTCACTTCTGTACCTTAGAAAATATTACTTTCCTATATATTTTTTCTTGCTACTAAAGTGTCTAAGAGACCATTGGTATTAATTTTGGTATTGTAGCACAGGAATGGGCTTGCTTGCATTAAGAAGTGAATTTTACAGTAATAGGCAAATGGCATTATACTGAGGCAAATACTTTGAAAAACAGTTGGCACGTAGGTCATATTACTGCCTACAAGGATATGTCAAGGCTCTAAATCCATGCCAGTAAAAGCTCTGGCATTTAGGAAGCCAGATGGATTAACTTAAAACTTTTTTCTTAACAGTAATACTATTAGGCAACAAAAAAAACTAGGGAGATAATTAGAGCTATAAGAAATGAGTAACTGTATTATTAAACAAAATGTCATGTTTATTCTAAAAAATGTTTGGAAATAAAATGGATGTCAAAAAACTATTTCATTTTAAGAGAATAAAGTTTGGATGACTTAGAGATTTCAACACAATATAAAGCTACTGTAATAAAGATAGTAAGGTATTTTATTTAATAAGGAGAGGAAAATAGATAATACATCAGAGCCCAGAAACCAACATATATATCCATACATATACATATATATACACACATACATATATATATGCAATTTTTGAGATAAAGTTGCCAAACTAATTTAATTCCAAAAGTATAAGATGCTTTAAATGGAGATTGAACATTTGAATATTCATATAAAGAAATCCTTAATCCTGACCTTTACTTACTTCACCTCACAGACAAAAATTAGCTCAAAATGAATCATTGATCTAAATATAAAAGTTTAAATTTTAAAACTTCTAGAAGAAATTTTTAGGTTGGATTACATTTTCCTTTACCTGTTACATCACATAAACTATCATTGTATTATAAGGACAATGTGTGGATAATTTCTCGTATTATACAAAAAACACAATCTAGGCAGTGTCATCAGACTGATTTAGTATAAATGTTTTTTTAAACACTGATAGCATTGTAATGTGTGCATTTGAATATTTCATGAAGAAAGCAGGCGTTACTTGATATTTTTTGTAAATCTTAGTTGGAAATTACATGCAAGCAGTTATTTTATTTACAATTCAGTCATTTTCTACTTTGAAAAAATAAGTTGGACACATTTTAACACCAAAAATGAACACATACTACCAATGTAGAGTCAAATGGAAATGCATAAGCTAGTACAATTCCTGGAAGAGCTACAAAAAAGAAGAGACTAGAAGAATGTGCACTGAAAACTTTATAACAAGTGGCAATTTCAATTTTCTAAAGCAGATTAGAAAACAAATTTTAAAAAATAATAAAGTTGATAATATCAATAGACATATTAGCAAAGTAATACTTTTATTAAGTTCCTTTTCAATGGTTAAAAAAATCAACACAATTATTTACCTGAAAACAGAATGAAATGTTCAAGAAAATTTTTGTAAGTGATTTTTAACATAATCTGAACTCATAACTTTGGATGACTATAAAATAATTTGGATTCTTACACAGAAAGGAAAATTGCTTTTAGATGGGGAGATGCTAAAACTATATATATGTGTGTGATAAAACTATACATATACATATACACACACACATATATAGCATATGGTATCTATATTGTTTATTATAATTATAGTGTTTGTTAGAAAATTATGAAGACTAAAATAAGTTTTAGAAGTAAAATACTTTTAATTAAGCCACCAAGCAATTATATATAATACAAAATATTTGTAATAACATTGAAGATGAGTTAACTAAAAAAATGAAAAAATGCAAACACTTTACATTGTAGGTGACTTGTGCAGTATAAGAAACATTGCCCAGTTAATACTTGGGCATATTCTCTCTCAACAACAGCAACAAAAACCACTATATCTACAAAACAAAACAAAATGTTGTCGACTTACAACCAAAAAATTTGAACTCATGGCATGAATATATTTGAATATTTTACATACCCAAAAGAATAATTTTAAGTAGTCATGAAAAAAATTATAATGGCAGAAAATGCTCTAGTTATGTATGTTAGCTCAAGATCCCAGACAATGGAAATTTAAAAGAAGAGACATTTCCCTATTGCTTTATTTCATTGTGTGATACATGCTGGAAGTATTTGGATAAAGCTTTCTGAAGATGGTTCTGAAAAGTACCGTGGTTACTGGTTTTGAATTGTTCAGTACCTATGTGGAAATGTTATGAATCATTGCCAATTTATGACTCTATTGAAAGAAACAGAATACAGTGAGTAATAGAGGAAAATGGGGACAACTGTAGTTGAACAACAGTAATTTTAAGAATTAAAAAAAAGAATACAATTAATCATCTTGTATTCTTTAAAAATGCTTGTTGTTGAGTCATTAAAGAGGTTTACAAAGACTTATTATACTGTTCACTTCAAGCCTTTCTTGAAAGAAAAGCAATGTTTGCCAAATATACAATTGCCATGTACAAAGAATTATGATGTGACTTATTTTCTTATATGAATGAGCTAATTCTGAAGCTCCATGTAAAGAAAAGCTTATCTGCCACCTAGCTAGACAGATACAAAATTTTGTATTGAAATTCACTCTTTTTGTAATAAGAATCAGTAATAATGATTTTCACATATTTCTAACATGAATCAATGTATAGAAGATGCTAATGTACAATTGACAGCATTATATGAATTGGCTGCAAAAAAGAAGAAGAAATAGTGAACATATAGAAGATACTGATAAATTTAGAGGTTTTCAATGTAACCATTGCTCTTCATTGTTAATTATATGGACACAAATGTTTTTTAATTTATTTACATTGGATAGATATTACTTTGAAACACATGTTTTAAAATCAAATCAATTATTTTTAAAAGATAATTTGTCAATATAGATGGATGTGAATATTAGAAGGAAATGATTTTTGATGTTCAATTCAGTTATTGGAAAACTTTTCAGCTTATGAAAATTTGGGCATGTGATTCTACAGTTTCAATCATAATTTCATAAAGGCTTAGTACAAAAATACCTTATTACTTAATATTTTATATTGATTATTATGCATTACTAAAGTTAATTTAAGCTATTTTTACCTTTTATTGATGTTTATTCTAGAAAATTTAACATTACTTATGGGGCTTGCATTATAGCTCACATATTTTTAATGAACAGCAGCGATATAGATTATTATTAATTTGTTTTTGTTATGTATGGAGTTTAGCAGAAAATTTAACACATCTTTTTCTTTAAACTAGTTATAAATAATATGAATTCATTTTGTTGGAAGGTATATGGGAGTTTCAAATAAATTAATTATCTTTGGCTAGGAAAAGACACTTGGGGGTACATTTTACATGTTAACTTACATATTTAGAAATATCTTGGTGTATATTTTACTGAACTATTTATATTTGAATGTTTTATTTTATGAATATTTACAACTTATTAGAAGAGAACTAAAAAGAAAAAGAATATTTTTAAAAAGGTTTAATTTCTTTGTCTGCAAGAGGGGCGTTATAATTCTCTTGCAGTTAAAGGAAAAATTATTCAAACATGTACTAAAACGTTATTGTGCATCAACCTCTGAGTTTGGGATGGGGCATATGGCCACGAAACAAGTTCTCAATGGAAAGTCTCTGTTGATAGAGAAAACCAGAGAGAGAAGTGAAAACATGACTTGTGCTTTATCAAAAATATATCTGTAAGTGTATGGGTGCATGAGTCAGAGTTCAGCCTGTTTAGATGCTCTCTTCAGTGAGACAGAGATGTTAACTTACATCACAAACCCCACTGACCCTCCAGTGCTTTCTAAACTACAGAGCTTGCCATACTAAGGAAATTACAAAGAAAGCTGATGACATCGGCTATTTCTTTAGCCTTGCGTAAGTATAAGAATTCTTGGTCCTCTGAGCTTATAGCATGACAGTTGAAAATCCTGACTGGGGGAAAGCAGCTCCCCAAGCTTGTCTGAGCTGCCTGAATACAGCCCTGGGGGCTCGCCCACAAAGGACATAGACAGTTTTTCGTTCCCACATCCACAGTTGTCTCCTGCTTCCCATCACACAACCGGTGTTCCTGCCAGGTTGAGGCACTGCGTTGCAATGTTAACGATTGCCGTGTTTCTAATGGTTTATGGGCATGCGTCATGACTTATGTCAGTGTTGGCCTTGCATCTTTCTGCAGCAATAAATATCACTTTAGTCAAATTCCTTTCATCCATCATCAACTAACGAGAGCCCATTTAAGAAACAGATTGCTTACAGTCAAGCTATTTTTCCTAAATGGTGCGAGAAGATTGAGAGGAATTAAGTGCAACCACTTTCATACTGGTCTCTCTCTATGAGATCTTTTACAATATCCACAAAATTTTATATTTGTGAGCAGATTTCTTAATCCTTGCAAAGAAAGATATGTATCCATTGAAATGCTGAAATGAATTCAGTGAGAATCATATACTTTCCTATCACAACTATTTCTAAGCATGTGAGAAAAGTTTTAATTTGTTATTGAAGAGATATTTAAATCTTAATACCTAATTGGGTCACAGAGAATAAAACCCTAAATTTTAGATATTATTTAAAATCTGAAAGTACTGCCAAACATTTTGGAAACTTATTCACACCTACAAGATTGGACATTATACAAATCTCCTGCCTGGGTGATAGTTTCTTTGAATATGAATGAATTTAGATACCAGAAAAAGGCCAAGAATTTAGTTTATCAACAAGCTCTTATGTCAGTATTTTTACAGTGTAATGTGGGGTGGCACTGGTGTGCCATTATTTTTATCTCTTTTTTTTTTTTGGTTCTCTAGTACACAGACCCATGTAAAGGGAAAACATCTTTTTCCTAGCGAGCAACATTCTTTCCTAACATACTTGCACTCTGCACCATGCTTCTCTATGTTCACCATTTGCTCACAGGTAAAGAGGTAGACTTTTCCCATCAATTCACCCTTGGAAGCATACCTTGCTTGAATCTTACTTAATGTGTACTTTCTAAAAGGGACAGCATGGCCCATGTGCACAATGGGAAAAATAATCAACAAAATTTTTAGATTCGTGTAAAAGCTACCTGCCTTTAATTCATAGAATTTCACTTAAAATACATTGTGTATTTTCTCTGTTCTTTAATGGACTACTAATCCATCATTAGTCAAAGTGCAGGAGGTTCTGATTCTCATTGGTCAGTGTGCCTTTATTCAGCTACACTTTCTGCACTGTGCAAACTTGGCCTTTTCTATGTTGCCACCCAGTTTTCAGGAGCAGTTCCTAGGGTTCATGCATTAAATTGCTTCCCTTCATGT